TGTCATTCATTGATTAAAAATTAAAACAAAAATGAGTCTACTGCACCTGATGTGAATACCTGTGAGGGATCCTTAAATGGTCTGGCTCACACTGTTTTGTAAGCACATGGCATGTTTTTTTAGGTAATTTATGGTAAATCAACAATAGCAAGAATATCACAGTACCAGGTATGTGTATATTACAGAGGTTAATAAAACATTTAACTTTTGGGTTTGAATTGTCCATTGTGTTGGTAGACTATTGGTGTTGTCCATTGTTTGAAACAGGTCAAAGCAGTATAGTACATTCGTAATTCCTGGCTGTCTAGCACAATTTAGCAGACTGTAATGTATGCTACCTGGATTAAGGCAAAGTAAACCAAATGAATGTGTTTTACTTATTAATCCAGACTTTTTGAGCTCAGTAAAATTAGTTGTGGAATTCTGTTGAACTTTATCAGATTGCTGTTTTTGGTCGGATGGATGCATGCATGCATTATCAATGTTTAATAATTAAAAAAAAGTATAAAATGGGTACTGCCAACTTAATTACAATGGGAGGATTATTCAGTGCTTATCAAAATATACTCTGTACCTTACTATTTGCAGTTGAACCTCGATCGTTAGCCCAGTCACCATTTATATGCATGTTCCATCATCTAGCTTATAAGAGAACAGTTGGCCTTATTCTATTCAAAATTGTCCTGGAAATCTAGTTTTCGCATACTATCCTGGAGTACCTAAAGGATCCACTGTATTTATAAACAAAGATTACATTGCTTAATTTTTGCATAAATTTCTATTCAATTAATATGTGGCAGATTTTAATTGTACATATGATTACAGTCACCTTCTACCTTCACGCTAGAGGGAATTCCCCTTTAGCTCAGTAGTAGAGCGTCCGTTGAGGAAGCTTGGGGTCGCAGGTTCGATCCCTGGTGGAAGCACATGTACACTACTCTCTTTCCTATTATAAATACATAACAATTACAAGGACCTGTGGCTGTAGGTACTGTTTTCTACTCAGTAAATATTACCATTTAGTTTTCAAGGGTAAATATTGGTTTGGTTTAGATATGTATGGAGTCTAAGTCGTCTTACTAGCTCAGTGTCAGAGAGTCTGACTGACAAAGCTGGGGTTGCTGGTTCGCTCCACAGCAATTTTAGCATGTTTTCATTTCTCTTCACTACTGCCTGTCTGTTACCGATATATAACGTTTGTACTGAAGTGTAGATGTTTTCTTTGTTGTAGCTCATGAAGGGAAGTAAAACTCGTTTCCATTAGATCACATTTTATAGGTGAAAGAACGAAATTGATCGCATGCCACTCAGGTGTAAAAAATGTACATTCTATTGTGCTACAACTGACAATAAACAAGTTTTACCTGGATCGTAGATAAAGGTACATGTCTGGCTGGTTTAATGTCTCAACATGGAGTTTTATCACCACATATAACAGTTGGGATGGAAAGACACTTATGTACATTAATATTAAATTAAAGTTTCTGTATATCGTTTTCTATTACATATACATGTGTTGTGGGTCAGTGCATTTACTCATTCACCCCTGAAATTTAATAATGAACTATTGCAACCTTTGAATTGAAAGGGTTCAAATGTGTCTTCAGGGGTAAATGAATCAATTCATTAATGTGCTTATCTATTAAAATTTGAAAATATACTAAAAATTTGAAAATGTACTAAAAATTGTATGTGCTGAATTCGGTATGTTTACCCTATTTGCCCACTCCATTTTTAGCTCACCTGGTCCAAAGGACCATGGTGAGCTTATATGCCATACCGCAGCGTCCGTCGTCTGTCCGTCAACTTTTCCTTTAAAATGCTACTAGTCCTGAACGGCCTAGTAGATTTTGACTAAATTTGGTCTGGAGCATCCTTAGGCCAAGGGGACTTAATTTTGTATAAATCGTGGGTGTGGCCCCCCTGGGGGCATGGGGGCATAGGGGCGGGGCCAAATAGGGGAAATAGAGGTTAAACCCATAAAATCCTTCTTCTACCGTAGGGATTAAGGGATTTTATCCTTATTTAGTCTGGAGCTTCCTTGGGCCAAGGTGACTCAATTTTGTATAAACGGTGGGTGTGTCCCCCCTGGGGGCAGAGGGGCGGGGCCAAATAGGGGAAATAGAGGTTAAACCCATAAAATCCTTCTTCTACCGTAGGGATTAAGGGATTTTATCCTTATTTAGTCTGGAGCTTCCTTGGGCCAAGGTGACTCAATTTTGTATAAACGGTGGGTGTGGCCCCCCCCCCTCCCCTGGGGGCAGAGGGGCGTGGCCAAATAGGGGAAATAGAGGTAAAACCCATAAAATCCTTCTTTTACCGTAGGCATAAAGGGATTTTATCCTTATTTAGTCTGGAGCATCCTTGAGGGCCCAATAGGGGAAACATGGCAAATTCATCAAAGTCCTTCTACTGCTGTAGGAATGACAGGATTTTGTCCAAATTTGGTATGAAGCACCCTTCAGTGAGGGGAACCAATATTGTATAATCGGTTGGTCTGACCCCCCGGGGGGCAGAGAGTGGGCCCAATGAGGGATATAGAGGAATAGCTTTAATATCCTTTTTCTTCCATTGGGATGAAGGTATTTTGACCTTTGAACAGTAGCATCCTATTGGGAAGGTAAATCGATTTTGTATAAATGGTGGGTCTGACCCCCCCCCCAGAGTAATTTTGCAAATTCTTTAAAAATCTTCTTCTTCAGACTTCTTCTGTAGGAGAATTATGTCCATATTTAGTCTAAAGCATCCTTGGGTGAAGGGGAACTAATTTTGTATCAAAGGTGGGTCTGACCCCCCTGTGGGTAGAGGGGCCGGGCCCAATAGTGGGAACATAGCAAACTCTTCAAATTCCTTATTTTTCTGTAGGAATGACAGGATTTTGTCCAATTGCATATAAATATAACCCCTGACTAATCATGTAATACATGTACAGCAACATTGGGCTATTTCAACTTCAATTTTGCTAACATTTCCAGGTTAGCGATACAGGTCCTCTGGGCCTCTTGTTCTCAATTTCCCTAATGTCGAGAACCAAATTGCAATTATTTTAATGACATATTTACTGAGCTATAAATTGTTTATGTTATTAGTTCAGTGATCCAGGATGGTCATTACTGTTCTACTCAGCGTCTATGGGCTAGACACTTACTGTGTCGAATAGATTGTTTGTTAGTCCTACATCAATGAAACTGGTTTAAGATTTCCTGAAGATCACGCCCTCAGCTTCAAATAGAAAAATTAACTGATACATTTAATGGATTATTAGACACATTAAACTCTCCTTTGGAAGTACCAGGAAATCTCCACAATCAATACTATGTAACATGGTTATTTTTCTGCATTTTAAACATTTTTTTTCGAAAGAAATATTCGTATTTTATCAGTCAAATTATATTATTTCAAATTCTTTTTAAAGTCCTAATGTCTAGTTAGATTAGGTGTCGATTCACCAATCTTAGCTGAAATATAATACTCGAAAACTTCTGTTTATTTGTAATATCACCGTTCATTCATCACTTAATACATTTTAAGTTTTTTCTCAAAGGATTTGATTTCAACTTCAACAATGTATTTTTGACAAGAGAGTTCATACAGTAAACAAAATAAAAGTGGTTTAAAGTTACATTTTTAGGTCACCTGAGCTTTAGCTCAAGTGACCTATTGCTATCCGTCTTTGTCCATTGTGCATCGTGCGTCGTCCGTTAACATTTTACATTTTGCAACTTAAGCTGAAATTCTGTCCAAGGGATTTCATTTATACTTCATGGGAATGTTACTGACATATCCCTGACCGAGTGTTGTTATTTTTCGGGTTGATCAGAAATCCGATATGGCCGCCATTTTGAAAAACTATTTCAAACTAGTCAAGTTCTACTGGGCTGATTTATTAGTAACTGAAACTTGGTAGGAATGATTGACTCATGGTCCTGACAAATTGTTGTTATTTTTCGGGTCGATCAAAAATCCAATATGGCCGCTATGTTGAAAATAACTATTTCAAACTTAAAAGTCCAGTTCTGCTGACAAAGAGTTCTTTTAATTTCAGCGATCAAAAATCCAATATGGCCGTCACGGCCACCATTTTGAAAAAAATACTGTTTCAGACTTAAAATCAAGTTCTAATAGGCCGATTTAACTGAAACTCGGTCTAGGAATGATCAACTTATGGTCCTGACAAACTTAACTTACGTTATACTTACCTATTTTTTACTCAAATTGGAAGGGATGATTGACATCATTATCTGCACTTCATATTTCAACCACAAAAATAAATACTGTAGGACTCAGATGACCATTAAGGCCCATGTGCTTCTTGTTACAGAGGACAATCGTTCCATAACCCATGTTTGATTGTGCTAGTGTTTATCGATAAACGCTAGTACAATCGAACAAGGGTTTCCGACGATGCCTGAGGGTAGAAAAATTCCTTATCCCCTTATCTGCAAAATTACTGACTCTTTTTCTCCTATACTAATAGCACAAAATTTGTGTTAATATGCCATGGCAATAATAAATGTTGTAAAATTTCTTGATAATAATTCAAATAAATAGAAACTAAGCAGCCATATCTGGAAATTAACATATACAAATAGGGTTATGACAAATCAAATTTCAAGAAGCAATATCTTCATGGCAAGCTTGTTCAATAATTCTCTTTGTCATTTGCCGATATTAAGGGTCAGTGAGTGTGCCCATGTGGGATACACATGTTCAATATTAAGCTGTATTTTAAATGCGACACAATTGTCTTACAAACTGGTAATATAAAAGTATTCAGTCCATGAATTGAAATTTTTATTCATTTGATTGAACAATTGATGTTACATCAGACCATTTGAATAGGACGACACAGCCACTCTTGTAATTTTATTGTAAATGTGCCACTTTGATTGCAGAGCTTAACCAGAATTTTCATTTTCACACAGGAAAAATAACCTTTTCTTTTTCACCACAAAACCTTACAATATCACTGGTGAAAATATCATAATGATTGTTGACAGGTGATTGAGGCTATAGCCAGTGGTATTGCTGGAACAGATGGCTGCACATTATTGGACGTTGACCCTGGAGCATCGACCAATCGGACGGTGTACACGTTCGTTGGTTCCCCAGAAAGTGTGGTGGAGGGGGCTATGAATGCTGCTAGAGTGGCCTTCCATGGTATAGACATGAGGAAACACACAGGTACAATATCTCGTACATCAATAGTGCCAAAGGATGTTTTTAAAGGGTTTTGAAATGTCTTCAATAAGATTCATCAGTTTGGAAATACATGTAATATTAAAGTTTCGCTTTCTACACAAACAATGTACATGTTAATCTCTAAACATGAACAGAGATGAGGGGGGACACCAGCTGTGTCATCTGTATGACCCGATACTGACATAATAGGGGAGGGGCTTGATCTAAACCCTACATGTAACCTATCTGATGCAGTGTGCATACGCTCCCAATCGATAGGAGAAACATCCCGGGTTCGAATGACGTAAAAAATGTTGCGACACGTTTAACACATACATTGTCTGTGTAGAGAGTAAAACTTTGATATTATGATATTGAAATGTACAGTAAAATGATGTCCCATTGCCAGTAGAAGATCCCATTATTTTTTCAAGTTTTCTGCTGCCACACATCTTGGAATATGTTTGAACAGAACTGTTCTATGCCATCATGAATATAGAAAAGATACATTTCAATCCTGAAATAAAAAGTTTTTAGGTTGCTATTTCAATATTTATAATAATTAGCTAATGGATAAATATATATGAAATATTTAAATATATGAATAAATCTACTGACAAATTAAGGCAGAAATGGATATCTCACCAAAATATGTCATCTACAGTATATTGCAGGCAAATAAATATGGTTAAATTTGTTAAATTAATGCAGATTCCCTACTAGTTTTACCCAGATGTTGGTTGTTTGCATGAGAACACAAATATGACGCTCTAGGATTGTATAGAATTATTTATTTCCCATTTTTGAAATTTGTGTCCCTTTACCTGCAGGTGAGCACCCCAGAATGGGAGCCCTCGACGTGTGTCCGTTCATTCCAGTACAGAACGTCTCCATGGAGGACTGTATAGAATGTGCCAAGGAATTTGCAGAAAGACTGGCACTAGAACTAGGAGTACCAGGTAACTATTTATTTCTAGTTCTGTTGTATAACCTCTATATAAACTTACCGTCTCACAATGTTGTAGTAAGTATAAACAGCAAGGGCACTATACATCTGTTGTATAACCTCTATATAAACTTACCGTCTCACAATGTAGTAAGTATAAACAGCAAGGGCACTATACATCTGTTATATAACCTCTATATAAACTTACCGTCTCGCAATGTTGTAGTAAGTATAAACAGCAAGGGCACTATACATCTGCAGACAGCACTATCAGAGACTTGAGGGGAGAAGGCAATTATAGATTTAGTACATTAAATGTCACTGGGGAATTCAAGATTCTAATAATAATAATACTTTGAGGTTCCAAGGCACTCACAGCTAGCATTCAACAATTCCAGCATTGCCCAACCACATACTCATTTACAACTGAGTAGACTGGAACAAGCAGAATAAAGTATCTTGTTTTAACGATACAACACAGTGCCATGATGGGATTCAAACCCGTGACCCTTTTTTGGACAAGTCCCGGTGTCCTACCACTAGACTTCTATGCCTCCATAAATACAAATCAACATTGACTAGTATCAACACTGGTTTATTGAACATTGAAGCAAGCATAAGAGTTATAAATAACAAGTCATAATGCTTCATTGGCCTTCTCTTATTTCTGACATTATGATAGTATAGTTACCCAGGAAAAATCCACACAAAGGTTGCCTGCAGGAAAAAGGGTGTAGGGGAAATAGTTCTTTAGAAATATTTTTTGATCAGAAAATGTTTGGGTCTTTCCGTTATACTTTCAGAGTAATTCAGGACCAATAATATTTTGACATTAGATTCATATTTTGATGAATTTCCAAATTGTTTTATTTAATGATTTTTGCTTAACAGAAATGGTAATCCTAGAAAACACAATACATCCTGTGTTTTAACAGGATGTGTTTTAACAGACTAATCACAATGTCAAAAAGATATTTTTCAGTCCTTAAAATGTCCCTAGCTCTGTTTAAAATATCATTTTCTGAGCTAAATGTAGCTTGATCTCAAGAACTTTGGATGGAAAATTCTATAAAAAAAAAAAGATCATGGATCTGCAGATAGTCCATAAATAAAACTTTGTACCATTTTTCAGTGTACCTGTACGGTGAGGCCTCAGACAATGAAGAAAGGAAACAGTTACCACAGATTCGTTCTGGCGAGTTTGAAGGTCTCCCTGAAAAGGTAACATCATAATTAATAATCGTACTTGCCTACTCTCTCTATTTAGTAAGGAGACTTCTGATTTTGGACGTTTAAATTTAGTATTTTCAACCGGTGTATTTGCTAAACTATTCCTATATTCAAAGATCTACTGTATTATTTCATCTGAAAGAGCAACTAAAAATATGTTATTCAAAGGGTTATTTTGTCTCTAGGGGGTATATACACACATTTATTAAAGGTTTTAATTTTCAGTTTGTAGAATCTCCCCCATGGAAATGTAAAAAAGTTGGCAAGTTTAAACAATAACAAATCCTTAGCCATGCATCTCTGTGTTATTTTCCAAATAATTTTTGTAATTTTTCTCTCTTGCACCGAAGTTGACATACAGCGTTATTTCAATGCCTGCATCATACCTTGCCTGTCATGGGTAATGATATGGGCCTTGTAACTTTGTCATTACAAGGAGGTTTGGTAACATATATTGAGGGAATGCAAAGTAGAATTGTTAAGGGAAAGGGGGCCATGAAATATATTGGCAGTAAGTGAGGTGGCTGATGAAAAGGACAGCAAATCAAGGTTTTACTGAAAACCAATAATTCATAATGTATTATTAGTAAAGATATCCAAACCCAATGCATAGAAGAATCATAAGAAAAATGGAAAATTAGAACTTAAATTAGTTTGGTAGTAGTCCAGGATGCAGTTGAAAAATGGGCATTATATTGAAGCTTCATACCATATCAAAAAGGGGTTCTTGAAATTTGATAGGTGGGGCATTATTTCAAGGTTTTAAAGTATAACTGTTGTTGGCAAATTTGTTGTAGCTTTCAAAACCGGAGTGGAAGCCAGATTACGGCCTCGCAGAATTCATGCCGACCTGGGGGGCAACAGCTGTAGGAGCAAGGACCTTCCTCATTGCCTACAACATCAACCTGCTGGCTACCAAGGAACAGGCTCACCGTATCGCCCTCAACGTCAGGGAGCAGGGGCGTGGCAAAGACCAGGTATACGTAGGTTTCTTTTTATTAAGTTAAGTCCATCAAGATCTGTAAAAATATATTATTACATATAGTTATGTAATTCTATACAGCTTAACTTTCTTGTTTTAAATTAGAATATCGGGCCCGGATTTCTTGGAAAAATATAGCTCAGGCTTAAATATCCCCAAAATTGTGGGGTTTGTTCTTTTTGTCGTTTTTTTTTTTTTTTTTTACTTAATTGTGTAAGTGGAAGTTTTAATTTCATCAATTGGGAACATTAAAATTTTATAATTTATATAATGAAGGTTTTCCTTAGACTTATAAACAAACCTTAAAGTTTCATTGAAATAAATGTAAATAGAAACCTTAGAAATAAAAGTTGTTTCAGAATTGGGATACTAAGTATTCATCATTATAGAAAAGTTGAATAGAATTCGTTAACAAAATTGTATGGGAAAAACTAAATTTTAGAAAATTTTGGTCTGAACTGGATTTTGTTTTTTTGTTGTTGAGAAATTAGGGCTGAAAAGTATTCATGGATACTGTATATTTTGAAGAACCATGAAATAGCGGCATACATTAGTATTTGAACTTTGACCTTGTAGCACCACATTCAGCGTCGCATGAGACTTCGGGTAGGTGTTCACTGACTGGCCTTCCCCTACCCTGGAGCCCTCCTAAGCTAACACCGCCCCCCCCC